GCCCCGCCTCCTTCCCTCTTCCCTGCCCGTCCCTGACCCCCTGCCCCCCCACGTTCACCTCGATGCGGTCGGTCCGCTTCGATGCCGGTGCTGCCCGACCCAGCCCGATTCGACTCCAAAGTGCCGACGAGCGGATGCGGTCTGATGCCTGTCGGGCGGGTGGTAATGCGGGGTGACCTAAACTGGGGGTGAAGGAACTTACCCGAAAAAGGGCCCTTCGGGGCGCCTCTTGGGCCCCAGCGGGCTCCAGAAGGGGCACCGACGGGCCCTTTTAGGGCCCTTGTCTTCACCTTCCATGCAGGCCACCCCCCACTACCACCCGCCCAAGCCTGCTTGGTGGTCGTTGTGCCCCCTGGCGTGGCCGATCCGAGCCGATCCCGGGAAGCGCTTCCGACCACGACCGGGCCTCCGGTTGCCCGTGCAGGCCGGAGTGCCGCTCACTGGCCCCCCTGGTGTGGTCCCTCCTGGGACTTAGTGGGCCCTGGAAACGACAGGGCCGTTTCTTTACCCGTTCCGTTTTGCTGTTTCTCTGCCGGTGCCGACGCCGTTGTTTTACCGGTTCCGTCGCCGTTCTTCTACGGGTTCCCGCTCCGGTTCCAATCCTGGAGCCGTTTCTGTTGCCGTTTCCGGTCGCCGTTTTTTGACGTTTCCATCTTCAAGGGTCACTTTTTCGGAAACGGTGAAAAAGCGGCCCTGCCGTTTCCGGGGCCCACCAAGTCTTGGGAGTTTCAGAGGGGCCCAGAACTTCTCGCGGTTTGGAAGCGGCTTCGTCCAGATGTCGTCGCATCTGGTCGGCACAAGCAATCTGGACGAAAGGGTGAGGAGTGGTGGCCGAGATCTGGGCGGCATCCTGCCGAAATCACGCCTATGAGGGGGCCGCGGAGGTCCACCACAGAGGTGCCCACGAAGGCGCCCGCTGGGCCCCCGGCAGAGCCCGGTGCAGCCCAGCTGGCCGAGACGCGCGCGCGCGCCAGTGGGGGGCGGGGGTCACGGGCCGAGGCCGCCCGCTGTGGCCGTGCGCCCCGCAGGCCTCCACGGCGGCATATTGCAGAAAGGTCCGCGCGGAGTTTTGGTCGCCCCGTTCGAAGGAGAAGCAACGGCATACAGCGAAGGAGAAAGCACGGAGTACACATAAGAGTGAGGGGGCCGAACAGTCATTCGCTGTCCCTGTGTGCGTGGCTGAAGTGGGGATCCGTGGTGAGGATTCTGCTTGTTGCGCTGTTGCGATGTTTTTGTTGTCCGTCTGTTATCGTCGTCCCACCCCGCGACCCACCTGCGACCCACCCCGCGACCCATCCCGCGACCCACCCCGCGACCCACTCCGCGACCTACCCGCGACCCACCCCGCGACCCACCCGCGACCCAACCTGCGACCCACCCGCGACCCACCCCTCGACCCACCCGCGACCCACTCGCGACCCACCCGGCGACCCATCCGCGACCCAGCCGCGACCCACCCAGCGACCCACCCGCGACCCACACGCGACCCACCCGCGACCCAACAACGACCCAGCCGCGACCCAGCCGCGACCCATTTGCGACCCATCCGCGACCCACCCGCGACCTACCCACATTGATGTAACGAAAAAATCAGCGCCTGCGGCGGGCTCGTTGTATGATTTGTGAAACTTTGGCGCCTGCGGCGGGCTTCTCCAGAATCTCGCAGACTGCCGACATCCCCACCGCCAGGTGTTACGTAAACTGTTGGCGCTCCGCGCGGATTCCTTGGATCCGGGCTGGGCCCCCCTGGCGCAAATTTTGAGAGATGAAGGTGTGTTTTCTCTACTTAATCGGGCTGTAGGCGAGCTACGGAGCTGGGAAGCACAGCAATCGATAGGAACTCATCAGAAGCGCTAGTCTAAAGCGCCTAGACGCCTGAGATCGGTCTGCTACCTCAGCTGCAACCAAAAACTATTTGCACTCTTCAATTTTTCGAGAGACAACGATGGTTTTCTCTACTTCACCAGGGCAGTAGGCGAGTTACGGGGCTGCGATATACACCTTCGACAGGAAATGATCAGAACTATTCGCCTGCAGCATCGAGTCTGCTACTAGAGCTGCGACTCAGCGCGGATCCAAGAAATCCGCGCGGAGCTTCGATCGTCTCGGGCGGGTGGTGCTGGGGGATGACCCGAACGGTGTGTGAAGAAAAGACTGCCCTGGGGTCGCCCCCCATTGCCACCCGCCCGACGGCCCCCCATTACCACCCAATCCCTGGCGGCGCCGCCCGAGACGCGCTCCGCGCGCCGGAGAGGGGGTCCAGCGCAGATCCAAGACATCTCTGCGCGGACCGGCGGAGGCTTGTGCTTGTGCCGTGTGGCTCCTCCTCGGAGCCTTCGGCCTTCTGAGGCTCCAGCTGGGCCCCGGGTCGTCAGAAGCAGCGGCTCGGGATGAGGAGCCGGTCCCAGGGAAAAGGCCCATGACCTTCTCTTTTAAGGCTGGGACAGTAGTCGCCCACCCCCTTGAATCCGCTGGGGGGGTTGGGCACGTGCTGTCGGAC